ACGCTTTTCAACCACCTATTTATTCTCCAAAAACGTGCCAATAAAAGCTCATCCGTTCAACCATTATTATCAACCCCGCAATTTTCACGCCACTCGAAAACGTGCAAGCCTCTAAATTACGTTACAAGACGTCCCGCCAAGGTGGTACCAAGCTCAAACCGCAAACAGCACCCACCCTCTCATGATTTACACGCAACTTTTCATTCAACTACAAAAATAAAATACATTTCAAAATTTACTTATTAATTTATTACCACAACTACAAAGCAATGCACAAACTAAACAACAAGATTAATCAAAACAAATTAGTTTACTAAATTAATAATTTCAGTATTTTCCTACTAATAACTAAGTTTATATAATTTTAACATGTCGAAAGTACTTTGACACCATTTATTTAAATTGACATAAATGTCATTGTCTATGTCACTATAAATAACATATGACATAAATGACATTCTAGGTTACACAATCACTCTATAAATGACAAATATGTCAGATTAGGTTATGGTTCCTTGACTAACCATTTGACAAAACAAATTCCAGTTTCATATAGTAATTGGTACATCTAAAAAAACATATGTATTCCATCATTATCTTCACACAAAACATTGCAGAAATTTACAACAATATTAATCAAAATTAAATTACTAATCAAAACAAATAATTTGCTAATAAGTAAGTTTGTCTAAATTTAACAAATATAAAGTACTTGAGTAAATCAATTAAATGTGAAAACACTGCTTTTCCACATATATTTTTCAACTTTGAACGCGTATTACAGCAATATGGATAAGAGCACAGGAATGTATCTATGATTTCCCAAACATTCAGCTTTCATGAGCATATATTGGATTCATTCTATCTACTATATTTTTCGAGTAAATCAATGAAATGTGAAAACACTGCTTTTACGAACGTTCTAATTTCAATTTTTCAATTTTGAACGCGTATTACAGCAATATGGATAAGAGCACAGGAATCTATCGATACTTGCTACATGCCCCAAACATTCAGCTTTCATATGCATATATTGGATTCATTCTATCTATTATTATAGTTAATTTTAACATGTCGAAAGTACTTTGACACCATTTATTTAAATTGACATAAATGTCATTGTCTATGTCACTATAAATGACATATGACATAAATGACATTCTAGGTTACACAATCACTCTATAAATGACAAATATATCAAATTAGGTTATGGTTCTTTGACTAAACATTTGACAAAACCAGTTTCATATAGTAATTGGTACACCTAAAAAAACATAAATTACTAATCAAAACAATTCATATATAGAATTATTGTGATATACAGAAAAGTTAGATTATTTTTTTTTATATCTTTAATCTATATGAAATTAGAATTATTTTATTCATTATTTAAGTAAAAATTATGACTTTGTGAATTATTGTGAAATATTAAAATATATAGCAAAATTAATCCATAAGTTACAATAAAATAGGGTCATTTTGACCAATATTTAGTACTTGTGTTTCAATTATGTGTCTGTAATAGGTACGGGTTAAAACAAAAACTACTAGATTATTAATAAAACAGTTTATAAATGGTTTCTCATAAGGAATTGATTGGAACTTCATTATTATATAATCAATTGTAAAGTCATGAATAATAATCAAATGAAAACGAATCAATTTAAAACTGAACAAACAAAATAACTAAAAAAATTATTAGATTTAGAATATATAAATTTAATACTAATAACAATTATTGTTACAATTATACAAAAAAATAATTGCAAACAGGGAAAAGTTTAAACGAAAAACACATAAATCGTTGTAATTGGCAATATTTTTTTTATTCAACTTAATTTGACTTGATTCTGTTTAATAAATATTCTACAACATTATTTGTGTGTTTTTGTTGAAGCTGTGTAATTCAATAGATTACGAAACAAATATATTGTAAATATAAGAGAAATTGAGAAGTGAATGAAAATAAAACGAACGAAGTCTAAATAATGTTTCGTGTCGTATTGAAATATATGCGTTACACGAGTATTTGAAAGTGCAGTGGATAAAGTAAAAGAAACTGCGAACCTCTGTCTCTTTAGTTTATTTTTTTTTGTAGCAACAGCAGCAGCAAACAACAGAGATTATATAGGACATTGTCGAGTGGAAAACAGTTGTAGCTCTCATGGAACACTCGATATAGGTCGTGATCTTGGTTGGTTTACGTAAAGCAGATACGGAATATAGGAGTCCTCGTATAATTTTCATTGTGTTAATGCAAACGCGATTATTCTTTTAATCCGAAAGCAATTACATGGCAATATGTACAAGACGACAAATGATAAGAACATGTAATAAATCCAGATGCGATAATTAAAATTGCTTTTGCTTGTTATACCTCACTGATTTTTGATTAATTGTTAAATACGAATTGATCGATTTAATTAATTTAATTAAATTAATTAAGTAAGGATTGATTTAGCTGCAATTAACAATTTGGATAGATGATGGTATTGTTGGAGATGGAATGTGGGACCACCCTTCCTGTAATAAAAACTCTATTTATTATTTGGTTTTCTGCTGCATATATTTCGTGTCTTTTTTTTATTGTTGGTTGTTTTGCTCCGTTCCGGACAATTGATTTAATATCGTGGCCTAACTGAAACTGGCAGGGCTTGTGGTGAGGAGCGGGCGTATTTCGTGGATGCTGCATCTACCTGCGGTGCATGTGGGATGAAGACCATCCAAAGGAGACTCATTAATATAACCACTTGTCCGCACAATTAAAATATATAATCGTATCGGAACAATTTATATTATTGATCGACGATTAAAGGCCCCCGCGGCTCCACCATCCAAATATCGTTCGTTACACCACATCCACACAATACCCGAATGGACAACAACCGCGCATAACTTTCGCATCTCGCCAACAAATTAAGACCAACTCCTCGCATGAATCATACGTAATCAATGCAAACTGCTTTCCATCTTCACTTTATATTATACCAACTTTCATATAATATTCTATAACTCTTCAATCATCAATATAATAATAATATTGGTCTTATGCACACTAGGAATGGCATGTGACATAAATGTCATTGTCTATGTTACTATGAATGACATATGACATAAATGACAGTTCAGGTTATCATACAATCAATCCATAATTAACATATGACAACAATGAAAGTTTAGGTTTTAATACTACCACATTATAATTGACATAGACATAAATGACAGTTTAAGTTATTATATAATCACACTATAATTAAAATATGACATAAATGAAACTTTAAGTTATGATACAATCATACTATAATTGACATATGACATAAATGACAGTTCAGGTTATGATACAATCAATCCATAATTAACATATGACAACAATGAAAGTTTAGGTTATGATACTATCACACTATAATTGACATATAGATAAATGACTGTTTAAGTTATGATATAATTACACTATTATGTAATCATTTGGCGCCTCCCCACACCCCTCCATTACATAAAAGAAACGCGTATTACAGCAATATTGATTCCCCAAACATTCAGCTTTCATATGCATATATTAGATTCATTCTATCTATTATAGTTTTCGAGTAAATCAATGAAATGTGAAAACACTGCTTTTTCGAACGTTCTATTTCAATTTTAACTTTGACGCGTTTACAGCAATATGGATTAGAGCACAGGAATGTATTATACTTCTGGATTCCCCAAACATTCTAGCTTTCATATGCATTATTGGATTCATTCTATGCTATTATAGTTTTTGAGTAAATCAATGAAAATGTGAAAACACTGCTTTTTCGAACCGTTCTAATTTCAATTTGTTCAACTTTTGAACGCGTATTACAGACAGATATGGAAAATGATTCAGGATAGTCTCAAAATTTTAATTCAAGATATCTATATTTCAATTTTTCAACTTTGAACGCCTATTATCAGCAATATGGATAATGTACACAGGAATGTATCTAACTTGCTGGATTCCCCAAACATTCAGCTTTCATGTGCATATATTAGAAGATTTAATATACTGGCTGAAGATTCCCCAAACATTCAGCTTTCATATGCATATATTGATTCATTCTATCTATTATAGTTTTCGAGTAAATCAATGAAATGTGAAAACACTGCTTTTTCGAACGTTCTAATTTCAATTTTTCAATTTTAAACGCGTATTACAGCAATATGGATAAGAGCACACGAATGTATCTATACTTGCTGGATTCCCCAAACATTCAGCTTTGATTAGCATATATTGGATTCATTCTATCTATTATAGTTTTGAAGTAAATCAATGAAATGTGCTTTTTCGAACGTTGTAATTTCATTTTTTCAACTTTGAACGCGTATTACAGCAATATGGATAAGAGCACAGGAATGTATCTATA